TGTCAGATACATCACTTTACATGATGTATTAGGAAGTAGGCGACATATCGAGACGTTGAGTAAATTGGGACGCGATGTATTAGGACGTTTTGGGATGTATTCGAATTCCACCAAATTTAAGAGATTTTTGTAATTTAAAAAAGAGTAGAAATATGATGTAGTTAGCTTTTACCACTATAAATTTATGTAAAATTTCCTAAAATTATATAAGATGTTTGGTTGAAAATTCAGAAGCCGACATAACTAATATAGGTATAAAATAAGGAAATTTATATGTTATTTTATGCGGAATAAAATACTAGAATAATAATATGACCAAAGGAGCAACTGTAGGGTCCATCAACATTTAAAGAAAAAAATAATCAAGATAGTACTGGTGACACATAAGATAGTACAAGGCTCCATCAAATTGGTGACACATAAGATGGTGAGTCCCATTTCCTTTCTTTTTCAAATGATTGTAAATGAACGAGAGAGATAAAATGACTAATTTTTATAGTTTGACTCTGAAAAAGAAAATCACGACAATTAAAGATATACGAAGAGAGTATTTTGTTTAAATTGACTAACAAATATATTCCTTCTTCTTGGTACACAAAATTCTTAAGCTCAATTTTTACATACTTTTATTTAAAACAATTAAACGAAGTTTAAACGTAAAATGTCAATATACATATGTAACCCACCTAACTTTAACAACCAATGTTCAGACAAATACAGTATAGTGAGGTCCAAGGAAACAATAATTAACCAAGGAAAAAAGAAAAAAATATTAGTTATGTGGTGATTGTCTCCTTTAGTTTATGTGGTGAAGCTTTTCTGAATATATGTGCTTATATTATATTACATATATCTACACTCAATTTCCAATTTCTCATAATTGCTAAATTAAAAAAATGGAGTTCCATTGGTATTCTGTTGTTGTTCCTCTGTTTGTCTTCATTTTTTTTCTTCATAACTGCTTATTTACCACTTTTAATAATACTAACAAAAAATTACCACCATCTCCAAGAAAGCTCCCAATCATAGGAAATTTGCATCAACTTGGGTTGCATCCTCACCGTTCTCTCCATGAACTATCAAAAAGATATGGTGCAGTCATGCTACTTCACTTGGGCAGTAAGCCAGTTCTTGTTGCTTCCTCTGTCGATGTTGTTCGCGATATCTTGAAAACTCATGATCTCGTATGGTCAACCAGACCAAAATCTAGCATCGTTGATGGACTCCTTTATGGATCCAAAGGCGTGGCCTTTAGTAATTATAGTGAATACTGGAGACAAATTAGAAGTGTCATGGTGCTTCAGCTTCTCAGCAACAAAAGAGTCCAATCTTATCGTCATGTGAGAGAAGAAGAAATATCAAACATGATTGATAAAATTAGGCAACAGTGTGATTCAGTGATAGACTTGAGAGATGTTTTAAGTCGTATGGCTAATAACATAATCAGTAGAGTGACCATAGGAAGGACATACAATGAAGGGGAAACTGGAATAGCTGTTAAGGCTCTCTTACAAGAACTTCTTGCACTTTTAGGTACTTTTAACATTGGTGAGTATATTCCGTGGCTTAAATGGCTCAATAAAATTAATGGTCTTGACAACAGAGTGAAGAAAGTAGCTAAAGATTTGGATGCATTTCTAGACAGCGTCATTGAAGAACATGTGATTAGAAACAACAAAGGAGAATATAGTACTGCGGGTGAAGCTAAAGATTTCGTAGATGTTTTGCTGGAAATTCAGAATGGAAACGAAACCGGCTTTCCTCTTCAAAGGGATTCATTGAAAGCTATTCTCTTGGTAATTTATTACCATCTCTCTTACTGTTACTTATTCCCTCCTTGGTATGTCTTGTTTTAATTTTTGTTTTAAGCACTCGGATATAATTCGTACTAATATACTGATTCATAATTCAAATTTTAAAACTTGGGACTAAAATTTTTATAATGGGAACACTTTGGCAATCTAGTTTACCAACATGGCTAAAGTATATACTTCCTAGTACCTATATACTTCAATTGTATATCTGTGTATAGGTATATATCCTATATGTATATTTTGTATAATGTATCTGCTATATATACACTACTTACATATCTTGTAATTTTCCCTATTATTTTGCCAATTAGTTTGAATTCTATAACCTCTTTGATTTATTGATCCACCCGGAGTAATAACGGAGCTCATAAAGTTGTTTTTAATTATGTGTGTTTCTGTTAATGCGAAGGACTCGTTTATTGCTGGTGTGGATTCAATATATACAACTTTAGAGTGGATAATGATAGAGCTTTTGAGGAATCCAAGAGCCATGGAGAAATTACAAAATGAAGTGAGAGGATTAGCCCAAGGGAAAGCAGAGATAACAGAGGACGACTTAGGAAATATGCAATATCTGAAAGCAGTGATCAAAGAGACTCTCAGGCTTAATCCACCGTTTCCAATACCAGTTCCTCGAGAATCAATGGAAGACGTAAAATTACTAGACTATGACATACCTGCTAAAACTCAAGTCCTTATTAATGTTTGGGCAATCGGAAGAGACCCATTGTCATGGGATGATCCAGAGGAATACCGACCTGAGAGATTCTTGAATAGTGATATTGATTTCAGAGGACTAAACTTTGAGTTGATTCCATTCGGAGCTGGTAGGAGGGGTTGCCCGGGAATTCCTTTTGCTAGTGTGATAATTGAGCTAGCATTAGCAAGGCTTGTGCACAAATTCAATTTTGCATTACCACAAGGAATGAAAAAGGAGGATTTGGATATGAGTGAATGCACTGGCATCTCCATTCGCAGGAAATTGCCTTTACTAGCAGTGGCAACTCCGTGTGGTATTTCTTTCAATTTCTTATAATGTCATAAAATATAATAATTTGAAACCCATTGGAAAGGGCATTGCAAGAGAATTTAGAATTCACTGTATGTAAGAAGTGTACTGGTTGACTCCTTTTTTCTTAGGTATTTTGTATATCTCTTTTATGTTCTCGCTATACTTGTTTTCATTTTGTTTCTCCATAAGTCGTTCGTTACTACCCGAAAAAAGTTATCACCACCAACTTGGGTCGCAACCTAACTGTTCTCTCCATAAACTATCAGGTCCATTAGCCATTAGCTTGCATTGTCCTCCTCATCTTAAGCCCTAACCTTTAGTGTCTAAAGAAGATTTTCCACATTAGTTGGAGTTACAAGAGTTAAATACACTTTGCATTCTCTAGAGAGAAACATGCTCTGCATCCCCTAAAGATATCTAGGTTGTGAAAACATGCGAATACTACAGAGCCATAGGGGTAGAGTTCTAGTAAAATAAAAAAGAAAAAGTCAAAGAAATAATAGTCATGTGCCAAAATACTTTGCTTATGAAGGTTCTTCTTGGCTAGCAAACCAGATTTGTGGTAGACAAATTGTGGTTTACTTTATATTTTGGCACATGACTATTATTTTATGACTTTTTCTTTTTCTTTCTTGGAGGCCAACTTAACTTTACTAATTTTTTTGGTTCTTATGTTTATAACAACTAAATGAGGTTTAAAATTAAATGACAATATACATATATAACAAGTAACTCAGTATAGCACTCATGAAATGTTCAGGCAAATGCTATCACTGTACCACTATAGAGAGGTTTGACTGTATCTTTATTTATTATTTTGTGGCCGCACAAATTAACTAGTGGAAATATACATACGGAATACTAGTAAAGATTGCATAAAAATTATGATAAAACGTATGCATCCATTAGCGATCGCTTGACTAGGTCCTTCGATAAAATAATAGTGCAGAAAATAAATAACTCAAAGTAAATCAAGCACAAGGATTTTACATGGACACCCCTTGCCCAAGGGAGGTGAAAACCACAACTTGTACTCATATGATTTCAACCCAAACTCCATTTCACTCAAAACGGAGCACAACTTCATATTACAACTTCTTGTAACCTAGGAATTAAACTCTTAAACCCTCCCCCCTTACTGTAACAACTCTACTACAAAGGAAACTAAGCAATAACTCCATTGTCCACTAAACCAACTAACTCTAGTTGATCTAAACTTCAAGAACCCAACAAGGCTAACTCTTGCCACCAACTCATATCTCAAAGATAGGAGCGTAAACAAGCAGCAACTCTGTTGCACCCACACATCAACTAACTCTAGTTGACACTCCTAGGCAATTCTACCTAAGAGACATCAAAACAATGATGAAAAGAGGCTTGACTAAAATATAAATGATTTGAGTAACTAACTCTAGTTAATCCGACTCAACCTAAAGACTTAGACAAGCAACAAATCTACTATCCTTTATAATTTAGGAGTAGATTTACAATATAAGAACACAAGACACAAAGCTTAAAAATATAGCAAAAGACGCTTCAGCACTCCATCGGGTCCCTTGTTGAGTATAAGCAGTGTTCTTCCTTGAAGACGGCTTTTTCTTTGTGAGCTTATGAATTTTCAGAATTCACAAACATTGTTTGCCAAAACTTGGCTTGTGTCATTTGAGAAGAAGACTAGTATGAAATGGACACAAACCCTTCGGGCAAAGTCATTGGCTGAGTCTGCTGCTACGATAAGACATGCACCAGCCACAACAGAGTTGGTAGTTGTGGCAGTTTTTAGACAGCTATCTTTTTGTTTTTTTTCACGTACGCAGTCTTTCCTCAACAAGATCCCTTGTTAGATCAAAAAGTTTATTAAATCATCAAAACTTCAAATTAGCTCCAAAATAACATTTTTCCTCTTTTTGGTGATGACAAACTTATTCAACTTCCCTTGTTAGATCCCGAAGTTTGTTAAATCATCAAAATTTCAAATCAGCTCCAAAATAACAAATTACTATATGCCCCATGACACTATCAAATAATGGTCCAAGGAAACAACGGGCAGTAATTAACCAAGAAAAAAAAACAAGAAAGTTGTTATGTGGTGAAGCTTCTATTAATATAATATGATAAAACATTACATATATCTATACTCAATTCCCATTTTCTCATAATTGCTAAATTAAAAAATGGAGTTCCCTTGGTATTCTGTTATTGTTCCTCTGTTTGTTTTCATTTTCTTTCTTCAAAGGTTCTTCTTTACTGATTCCAATAATAACAAAAAATTACCACCATCTCCAAGAAAGCTCCCAATCATAGGGAATTTGCACCAACTTGGGTCGCATCCTCACCGTTCTCTCCATAAATTATCCAAAAAATATGGTCCAGTCATGCTACTTCACTTGGGCAGCAAACCAGTGCTCGTTGCTTCCTCTGTTGATGCTGCTCGCGATATCATGAAAACACACGATCTTGTATGGTCAAGCAGACCTAAATCAAGCATCGCTGATGGACTTCTTTATGGCTCCACAGACGTGCCATTTAGTCCCTATGGTGAATATTGGAGACAAAGTAGAAGCATCGCCGTGCTTCACCTACTCAGCAACAAAAGAGTCCAATCTTATCGTGATATCAGAGAAGAAGAAACATCGAACATGATTGAAAAAATCAGGCAAGGTGGTGATTCTTCGAATTCAGTGATAGATATGAGAGATGTTTTAAGTTGTATGACGAATAACATAATCAGCAGAGTGACCACAGGAAGGACATACAATGGAGGGGACAGTGGAATACCTGTTAAGGCTCTTCTAGAAGAGCTTCTTATACTTTTAGGTATATTTAGCATTGGGGATTATATTCCATGGCTTAAATGGGTCGATAAAATCAACGGTCTAGACAGTAGAGTGAAGAAAGTAGCTAAAGATTTGGATGCATTTCTAGAGAGCGCTATTGAAGAAGGCGTGACTAGGAACAAGAAAGCAGAATGCAGTGCGGGTGAAGCTAAAGATTTCGTGGGCGTTTTGCTGGAAATTCAGGATGGAAAGGAGACTGGTTTTCCTCTTCAAAGAGATTCACTGAAAGCTATCCTTTTGGTATCTCTCTTACAACTACTTATTCCATCCTTGGCTTGTCTTGTTTTAATTTTATTTTATTTAAGCATTTTCGTACTGATATATATGTGCTTTTTTTAATGCAAAGGACTCATTTACTGCTGGTACGGATTCAATATATACAACTTTAGAGTGGATAATGACTGAGCTTTTGATGCATCCAAGAGCCATGGAAACATTACAGAATGAAGTGCGAGGATTAGCCCAAGGAAAAGCAGAGGTAACAGAGGACGACTTAGGAAATATGCAGTATCTTAAAGCAGTAATCAAAGAGACACTTCGACTTCATCCACCGTTTCCACTACTAGTTCCTCATGAATCAATAGAAGACGTAAAATTACTAGACTATCACATACCTGCTAAAACTCAAGTCCTTATTAATGCTTGGGCAATTGGAAGAGACGCATTGTCGTGGGATGATCCAGAGGAGTACCAACCTGAGAGATTCTTGAATAGTGATATTGATTTCAGAGGACTAAACTTTGAGTTGATTCCGTTCGGAGCTGGCAGAAGGGGTTGCCCAGGAATTACTTTTGCTATCATGGTAATTGAGGTAGCATTAGCAAAGATTGTGCACAAGTTCAATTTCGCGTTACCAAAAGAAGAAGATTTGGACATGACTGAATGCACTGGCATCACTATTCGAAGAAAATCACCTTTACTAGCAGTGGCAACTCCATGCTCTACTTAGTACGAAACTACTAAGGATCGTTTGGTAGGAGGTATTAATCAAAACAGTCTTTGGATTAAAATTTAGTCCAATAAAAATATTGTTTGGTTACTTTATTTTACTTAATTCATGGACTAGTAATACCTCATAAAAAGTCTTATTTTATCCCTAGAAAAAGGAGGGATAACTAATTCAAGGTTAAACAACCCTTGGATAAGACCCCTAAATAACTAAACTATCTTCCAATCTTTTTTCCTAAATTTCTTTTGTAATTTAATGTCCTTTTATATATATATATATATACATATTGATATAGTTATGGATAATTTTTTTTTTTTAATTCTCCACATCTGTTCAATGTAATTTGATGATTTCACAAACTATTTTTTTTTGTCCATGTTTGATTTGCTATATTGGGTTGATACTTTTTTTAGGTTTTTAAAAAAAATGTAGTTCGTCAATGGACCACTTGAACTATTTGTATTTTAAAAAGAAAAAAGAAAAATAAGCTTTGTGTATTTGGACAATTTAAGTAGCCTTAAATCTTTGTTAAGTTTAAGGTATATTTAACCAACAAAAAATTAGAAATACACCGTGTTATCAAAGATCTCCGTAGTGACACATCACACCTCAAAATTAATAATAATTTATTTTTATATATTAGTATTTAACTTCTAGTTAAATGAAAGAGAAAAATCCCATAATAATTCAAGGATATAATAAGAAAGAAGTTTATTGTAAAATTTTAAACTAAACGCAAGATTAGGTGGGAAGCAATGAACCAAACACTTGATAAAAACTAATCTTGCATTACTAAACCCTACATTATATATTAATTCTTGCATTACTAATTTATGCGTTACTAATCACTGCATTATGCATCTCTACGTACCAAATGACCCCTAAAAGTTAATAATTTCAGAATTCACGGTATGTAATAAGTGTACTGGTTGACTCCTTTTTTTTTCCAGGTGTTCTGTATATTTCTTTTATCTTCTCAAATGAAAGACTCCTTATTTTAACATGTTCCATAGATAACATTGATAATTTAATATGCCAAAATTTAAGCTATTCTACACTTGTATATATATTGGTCCAAAAATATGTGTTGCCGTTCGATATTTAAACTATATATCCAACTAGCTAGAGCATTTCCACATTCAATTGGTATATAAAAATTTCAAAAGAAGCATGGACAGGGCACTTGAAACAGAGATATGTGCCCTTCTATTTGTACCGTATCGTCTTAACACCCGTTTGGATTGACTTAAAAAAAAAGTAGTTTTTAAGTCAAAAAATAAAAAGTAGGGTAGACTTACTTTTGGTTTTTTACTTTTTTTTAAAAGTCATTTTAAACTTATTTTAAGTTATTTTTAATCTTGTCAAACACTTCCAAAAGCTAACAATGACTTGAAAGTAGACTTGATCAACTTTTAAGTCAATCCAAACATGTTGATACTTAATTTCCTCCTAAAAAGGAATAAAATGTTAAATAAAGATAACAGCAAGAAAGGAAGGATTGTGATCATAATTTTTTAAGAATAAATAGTTTTTTTGTGATCATTTTCATTCTTGTTTGTACATTGATTGCCGGAATAATAATACAGTATTATAAAAATTAGAGGACGAAAAAGAAAGGAAAGAAAAGAAAATGTAGTGAACTTTAAAGTTGGAAACAAAATATGTGGTTAAAGTTCGAATGGTTGTCTTTTGTTTGAAATAATGCAAATAATATAATTGTGGTCGATCGTACTCTACTTAAGTTTGTGTGGTAAAGCTTTACGGAATTAAAATCATCTCCAACAGTATATGAAAATGACGTTTGTTTTCCATTTGGTACGATGATAAATATATTGTTTCCAAATATACACCCAATTCTACATTTCTTTCCTGCCCAAAAAAATGGATCTTCCCCCGTATTCTGTTGTTGTTCCTTTCTTTGTTTTCATGATTTTCTTTCTTTATAAATGCTTCTTTAGTACTACTTCCAATTATCAAAAAAAATTACCACCATCTCCAAGAAAGCTCCCAATCATAGGAAATTTGCATCAACTTGGGTCGCATCCTCACCGTTCTCTCCATAAACTATCGAAAAAATATGGTCCAGTCATGCTACTTCACTTTGGCAGTAAGCCAGTGATTGTTGCTTCCTCTGTTGATGCTGCTCGCGATATCATGAAAACCAATGATCTTGTTTGGTCAAACAGACCTAAATGTAAAATGGCTGATAGACTCCTGTATGACTCCAAGGACGTGTCTTTTAGTCCGTATGGTGAATACTGGAGACAAATTCGAAGTGTTACGGTGCTTCATCTTCTCAGCAACAAAAGAGTCCAATCTTATCGTCATGTGAGAGAAGAAGAAACATCAAACATGATTGATGAAATCAGGAAAAGGTGTGATTCAGTGATAGACTTGAGAGATGTTTTATGTTGTATGACTAAAAATATAATTAACCGTGTGGCTTTAGGGAGGAAATATAATGATGGGGAAAGTGGAATAGATGCTAAGGCCACTCTAAATAAGTTTGTGGAACTTTTAGGTACTTTTAATGTAGGGGATTATATTCCATGGCTTGAATGGGTCAATAGAATCACCGGTCTTGACACCAAAGTGGACAAAGTGGCGAAAGAATTGGATACATTTTTGGAGCTCGTGATTGAAGAACACATGCTTAGGAACGAGAAAGGAGAAAATCGCGCTGGTGAAGCTAAAGACTTGGTGGATGTTTTGTTGGAAATTCAGAATGGAAATGAAACTGGCATTCCTCTTCAAAGGGATTCATTGAAAGCTCTTCTTTTGGTAAGAGTCATTAAAATTCAATCATGTATGAATGTTAAAATGGAGTCCACCCTTAGTTTTGTTTCTTTCTAATTATATTATTATGCATAGGATACGTTTTCTGCTGGCACGGATACTATATATACAGCTTTGGAGTGGACTATGACAGAGCTATTGATGCATCCAAGAGCCATGGAAAAATTACAGAATGAAGTGCGAGGATTTGCCCAAGGGAAAGCAGAGGTAACAGAGGATGACTTAGGAAATATGCACTATCTCAAAGCAGTGATCAAAGAGACTTTCAGGCTTCATCCACCGGTTCCACTGCTAGTTCCTCGAGAATCAATGGAAGAAGTAAAATTACTAGGCTATCACATACCTGCAAAAACTCAAGTCATTATTAATGCTTGGACAATTGGAAGAGACCCCTTGTCATGGGATGATCCAGAGGATTACCGGCCAGATAGATTCTTAAATAGTAATATTGATATCAAAGGATTAAACTTTGAGGTGATACCGTTTGGAGGAGGCAGAAGGGGCTGCCCAGGATCTGTTTTTGCTATTGTGGCGATTGAGCTAGCATTAGCAAGGATTGTGCACAAGTTCAATTTAGCATTACCAAAAGGAGAAGAATTGGACATGACTGAATGCACTGGCCTCACTATTCGTAGAAAATCACCTTTGCTAGCATTGGCTACTCCATACTCTACTTAATTAGTTGATATTTTTGCCATATGAAATAAGTGTATTGGTCTACTCTCTTATTTTAACATGTTTGGCAGATAATATTATTATTTATAAGGCATAATACATATATTGGCCCCTAAACTTGGCTTCAAATTTTAACTTTGACCTCCAACTTTCATAATGCACAAATAGGCACTTTAACTATCCTACCTTTAAATAAATAAACACGCGATTTTTGGAGTCAAAAGCGTGAAATGCACACGCTGCCACGTGTGTTAGTGACCCACTCAATGGCTGCCAACTATTCAATGCATATGGGCCCGTTTTCCTGTCTATTTGACACCTTTTCAAATAATTTCTCTTTATTTTTGCCTCACAACTTCTTCCTTCACTTTCATTTTGTGGTAAATTAATATTTGAAAATGTCAATTATTCAATTTATAATTTATTTGTCTTATTTCTTTTTTTAATTTATGTGTATTCAAAGATTACATTTAAGATACTATAAATTATTAGACTTAATATTTAAAAAAATTTATTACAAATTTGAAAATTACGTAATATACACTATTAATTACAATAATTACTAATTTAAAATATTTTTTCAATCTAATAAGAGCCTACAAACACACTATACATTATATTTAAAAGTACTATAAATCATAATTAAAATATATTTTTTTTAGAAAATTTTTTGTTGACTCTTGAAATTCTATTGGTGACACATGAATTTGAATAGATGGAACAATATATATTGAAAGTTAACAAATACTATAAGTTATTCGAAAATGACGTTAATGATTTTTATAAATTATAACAAATTAGCAACTAAAATATTTTTGAAAAAACATACAAAAAATTAGTTGATGAATCAGCCACCACACCGTGGACATGTATGTTTTTTGTGATTAAAATTGAGTTTAAGGGTTATTTTGGTCATTTAAGGATTTTTCTTTAAACTTCAAGCTTTATTAATAGTGATGTATTCATTTTAGAGTTAACATGAACATTTACTACCATATAAATATATATAATTTATTCAAATTTAAAATTTAAAACTATTTATTTAACGTCAATTAAAAATTAACTTTTAAATTAATTATTAGCACGGGCTCTTCATCACTAGTATATAATATAATAAGCGGGAATAGAGGGGACCTTGGGGTCGACACGTGTTCCTTTTTCCTTCTGGACAAAAAAAGACTATACAGACAAGAGGTCAACCTGTAAAAAAAAAGGGGGACCCATATTTTACTATTGAAGGATACGTGTTTCTTTTAAATTTCTTTTACCATACTAAATAATTGTATAAAATATTATAAATCACGATAATTAATTACTTAAATATTTAAAAGATATAAAAATATATAAAAAATCTGATTGACTCTTCAAATTTTACCGGTGACGCATAAATTCGGACAAATGAAATAATATAAATTATTTGAAAATTTCTTAGAAAGTACTATAAATTACAGTAATTAACAGCTAGAAATATTTCAAAGACAAAAAAAATTGATTGAATCTCAAAAAAAAAAATTAGTACTACACGTGTTCCTTTTTCCTTCTTGCCAAAAAAAAACTTCATTATAATTTTTTTTCGTAATAACAAAATTTTTTATTAAATGTCACTTGCATTTTGCAGTAAACAACAAATAATGCAAAAAAGAGGGGAAAATTGTTGAAAAAAATATAAAAAGGGTTTAATTGTCCTTTCAATGCTTTTTTTACTGTTGACCCCCTGAATTTTTCCATCTGACGCGCCTAATTTGAGTGTATTTCACGCATTTTGCCAGGTAGGATCCGAGTGTTTTTTTGTTTAAGTTTTGGATAGTTAAAGTGCCTATTTGTGCACTTACAAAGTTAAAGGTCAAAGTTAAAATTTGAAGCCAAGTTTAGGGGTCAATATATGTATTATGCCTATTTATAACTATGTCAAAAAGATAATCATATGAAATGAATGTATTGGAATATTATTCATTTTTCTTATTACATGGAAAGAAATTATATTTACTACTCGTAAAATTTGCATGTAATTAAAAAGTCCAAAATTTACCTCATTAATCTCAAAAGTCCCATAATACTTGTCAAGAACATTTGTTTGCCAAGTAATTTTAGCCCCCTCCCTTATATCTTGACTTTTTCTTCTTCATTTTTCTCTTTTTTCTTCAAATGGGATGGACCCCAAATTTGCTCCCCGAATAGCTATTTCAACAGAATTTTACCTCTATAGCTGTTCACAGAAAATATCCAGGCTTCTTTTTGCAATCAATTATATATCATAGAAATGTGGAAAAGTTTTAGTTGGATAGTTAAATATCTAACATCAACAAGTAACACATTTTTTGGTCTTATAAGTTATATGTGTAGAATAGGTTGGTATGTTTGGCATATTAATAGTATTATCCACGGAACATGTTAAAACAGGAAATTTTGCATACAAGAACATATAATAAAACACCCAAAAAGGGAGTAGACTAGTACACTTAATTATTACATATAGTGAAATTATTAACCACTAGCTAGACCATGGAGTAGCCACCGCAAGCAAAGGTAATTTCCTACGAACAGCAAGCCCTTTGCATTCAGTCATGTCCAAATCCTCCCCTTTTATCCCTTTTGGTAATGCAAAATTGAATTTGTAACGAAGTTTGCTAATGCTAGTTCATTCACCATAATAGCAAAAGGAATTCCTGGGCAGCCCCTTCTGCCAGCTCCAAACGGAATCAACTCAAGGTTTAGTCCTTTGACATCAATATCACTATTCAAGAACCTTTCTGGCAGGTACACCTCTGGATCATCCCATGATAATGGGTCTCTGCCGATTGCCCAAGAATTAAAAAAGAGCAGGTATGTCATAATCAAGTAATTTTACTTCTTCCATCGATTCTCGAGGAACTAGAAGTGGAACTGGTGCATGAAGCCTTAGAGTCTCTTTGATCACTGCTTTAAGATAGTGCATATTTCTTAAGTCATCCTCTGTTATCTCTGTTTTCCCTTGCCCTAATTCTCGCACTTGATCCTCTAATTTTTTCAGAACTCTTAGATACCTCAAAAGCTCTGTCATTGTCCACTCCAAAACTGTATACGTTGAATCTGTACCAGCAACAAATGCATCCTATGCATTATAAAGAAACACAAATGGTCAAATGGTACCACACAAAATAATATATTCAAATTAAATGCTTAAAAGAAAAAATAAAACAAGACACACACTAAAGAGGGAAATTTTACCAAAAGGAGAGCTTTCAATGTATCTCTTTGAAGAGGAAAACCAGTCTCCTTTCCGTTCTGAATTTCTAGCAAAACGTCCACGAAATCTTTAGCTTCACCCACACTGTATTCTGCGTTCTTGTTCCTAATCACGCGTTCTTCAATCACGTTCTCTAGAAATGCATCCAAACCTTTAGCTACTTTATTCACTCTAGTGTCCAGACCATTGATTTTATTGAGCCATTTAAGCCACGGAATATAATCCCCAATGTTAAAAACACCTGCAAGTAAAAGAATTTCTTCTAGGTAATGTTGTTCATCTTGTATTCCTAAGATACTTGGTAAGACACGAAGAACTTGGTAAGACACAATAAAGTTTAAGAACATTTTCACAACTAGAAAATTAAAACTAGTAGGAAACTAGAATCAGAAACAAATTAGATAAAATATACGAAATATTTTTTCCTTAAAGAAGAATTGTTGTCAATCTGTGTTTAAAGAATCTTACTGATTCCAACAAACTTTGCAGAAACACGAAGTTACCAAAGTTTAATAAACTAGTGAAGAACAGAAGAACACAAATTAATTCACAAATCTAAAATCTGTAACACATACCAGAATCTGGAAAAACAGAAAGAAGATCAAGCCCACTGAATGCACAGTGTCCCCTTAAGGAAATTATTCCCCTCTAGTATCCGAGATTTGATTTGGAATATGTCCTCTCAGGATAGAATGATTTCAATCACCAGTGTATTGATACCCAAAATGCTGGTGGTTACGAGCCACTCAACGGCAGTAAAGTATACTTAGAATACTAGATTTATTAGTAGAAGAAGAAGTCCAAAAATTGGTTCCCTTTTAAAATGAGAGGAAATCCCTCAATTTATAGAAAACAAAGGGTAGTGTGAAAAGGTTCTTATTGTGCCTTACCGGAAAGGTCACAAACCTTTGGAAAAGTCACAATCTTTCGGAAAAGTCACCACCTTTCATAAAAGTCACAACTTTTCATAAAAGTCACAATTTTTCATAAAAGTCGCAACTTTTCATAAAAGTTACAACTCTTCATAAAAGTCGCAACTTTTCATCAAAGTCACAACTCTTCATAAAAGTCGCAACTCTTCATTTTCCATTCACACCTTTTAAAACCCAACAAGTATGCCTTTAGAGCTATTCCACTTTCCCCTTCATTGTATGTCCTTCCTATATTCACCCTGCTGATTATGTTATTAGTCATACCACTTAAAACATCTCTCAAGTCTATCACTGAATCACACTGTTGCCTAATTTTATCAACCATGATTGATATTTCTTCTTCTCTCACATGACGATAAGATTGGACTCTTTTGTTGCTGAGAAGGTGAAACATGACAATGCTTTTAATTTGTCTCCAGTCTTCACCATAGGAAGTAAAGGCCACGTCTTTAGAGCCATAAAAGAGTCCATCAGTGATGCTAGATTTAGGTCTATTTGACCAAACGAGATCGTGAGTTTTCATGATATCGCGAGCAGCATCGACAGAGGAAGCAATAAGCACTGGCTTACAGCCAAAGTGAAGTAGCATGAGTGGACCATATTTTTTGGATAGTTTATGGAGAGAACGATGAGGAAGTGATCCGAGTTGATGGAGATTTCCTATGATTGGAAGCTTTGTTGGAGATGGTGGTAATAACCTTTTTTGTGTGTTTGAAGGGCTAAAGAACCACTGATGAAGAAAGTAAATGAAGGCAAGCAGAGGAACAAGAAGAAAATACTCCATTTTTGTTTTACAAATTAACAAGTATTGAGTAGAAATAGAGAGTATTTGGACTCAAATATATACGTATCTTAAGTATCTTGTTAAGTTTTTTTGCGCACGACACTAATTTTGTGGTTACAGTTCAATTGAGTTATCATTTTTG